TTACCTAAGGTGCTAATATTTTCTTGCCTTCGGTAAATATAGCTTCATAAATTTCGAAAATGCACCTGAATTTATACCGTATATTTTCAATTTCAATTTCATTTGCAGGAAATAAACTAACTTTGCTTTCACATAAATTCGAAAAGGACGACATTTACTTTAACTTACTCCCTCCTGTTCTTGATCTAAACCCGTTACGTAATCAGAATAATGTACATTGGATTAATTTTGGCATTTTCGATGTTCGAGTAGTTTCCACCCCCTTGGAATAATAAATTGTTGATTTACGTCAACGTATAATTGATAATTTACGGCATTCTATTAAAAAGTTTTCCCGCTTTTGTAATTGCGCAAAAATACACTACCTACCGTACGTAAATACGATGATTTCTAGTGACACTTCATTATAAAACTCCTAGTCGGATTTATTATCCTTCTTATGAGATTTAAAACTGGCCAAGTCGTGAAATTAAAAATCGAGTAGCTTGGCAACGGGAGATAACCGGAATTTCCGTGCCCATTTTTCACCACTTGAATGTAACTGCAAATGCTTTATTGCAGCGAAACTGCGTTACGTTATGAATGGTTTAATTTCAATTTGCGCTTAAATTGGAAAAAGTTTTTAAAGCAAATTTTTCTCTTTATTGTGTAGACATTAAATCTGCAATGTGTATGTTTTTTGACGGCCCTCAATTCTGTTTTGAATGAGGTAATTTTCTAATGTGTGTGGAGGTGAGTGCTATAATTTATGCGTTAACACATAAAACAAATGTGTACTCTGCCAAAATGATGAGGTTAACACATAAAACAAATGTGTACTCTGCCAACCGTGGCGAATAAAGTAATCTAATGGTAATTAAATTTTACAACCATTACCAATTTCCTCTGGTATAAAGACCACATAATCTCTTCATTATTACCACTATGGATTTTCGTCGTAGATTCATGTAGAATTTACTTTATGTACAGTGTGATGACCCAGACGGTTAGTTGGAAAGGATAAAATTAACATAAACATTTGAAATTATTAATAATTGTATCAATTAGGTAAATGCAATGAATTGAATGAACACTATAAATATAAACGCCTAAATAACGACAACCGGTGAAGCGGGCGGTAACACTTCATGAGAGCAACGTGTACTTTCGATATTGAATCAAATCATAATTCAATACTGTTCAACACAGTACTGAACCTTCCCAAATTTGAATCTAGTTTCATACAAACAGACCTTTACTCGTATACACGTGTGTGATACTTTGCTGTTGGTGCACGTGAAAGAACAGCTGCTACTAAACATGCGCTTCATTTGTCAACTGGTTCTTGGATCAATAAATAGTTATTTATTATATAAGATGATCAAGGGATATTAGATGTTAATTCACGAGTGGCACAGAATGGCAGAAGCCATACCATTGTAATGCTCATGACAATTCTGAACTTACTTTAGACGTCAAAAATAGCAAGCTTAGGTTCTGCTGTCGTTTCCATAGAAACAGCATTTTGTCATATGTTCTGAACGTCATTTTATATCGTGCTCCGCATCCCATTTAAATTAAAAATAACAGATGTCATTAGAATCCTAATCATCTGTTTCACCTTATCTACCCTACCCTCACGGTTAAAGAGCGACTTCATGAAAATTCACCAAGTATGTACGTCCTCCATACCTACTGAATATTCAAAGTAATTTCTGGCAGCCCTCTGCTGGGTAGGAAAAGTTATAGGAAGGTTTCATGACGATTTTGGGTAAAATTAATTACACTGAAATTGCGTCGCAAGAAAGCAGAGTTGTAGAGAAGGCCAAATGTGACAGTAAAATTTATAAGGGATGTTAAGTGTTGTTGAGTTGCCGGAATTTTCTGGATTTTTACACCACGTAAGCAGGTACCAGGGGCTGCTAAAATTGCACTTTATCTGACACCGCTGTTTTTTCATACGTTCCTCAAATTCGAGTATCAATATCAATATGTATATCCATTTTCTGAATATGCCATTAATTGATTAATTAATTAATTAATTAATTAATTCTATTCTTATGAACTCAAAAATAAGGTTCCTGAAATAAATCTTGAACGTTGTTCACTTCATTGACGATAACTTAAATCTTTTATTAAGATTGCTCAACTTTTTCTGCACACTGTAACTCGAAACTGACGAACTGCATATTCGACAAAACAAATAGGGCTAACTGCCCGAGATTTAGCGTAAACAAGTTTACACGCTCTTTAACCGTCACGGAACTCGCACTAAAACATCCCTACTTTCGCCGAAATAAGGCGCAATTCTTCGAAATACCTTATCTCTTCTAAAAGCGATATTAACACGTGCGTTAATTAAATTTCGTTCAATAAACCTTATCGCAAACGACGTCCGTTCATTTTAATACGCAATTTTATATTATATAATTATATACACAAATTTAAATCAACAATTTACACAAGCAATAAAATTTAAACAAGAATTACGAAATTATTAACAGTTCTAAAAGGAAAAATTGACACTGAGATAACAAATTCAAATACAATAAACCAACATTGTGCTTATTCGTAAATAATACAGGATGCCCCGTCATTATTTTAGGTGTTTAGACCGAAATAATGATGTTGTGCATACAACAATATACAGGGTGACAATTTGAAAACTTACCACCCCTCATATCTTAGTAAATAAACGATATATTTAAAAAAATCAAAATCCGTTTCGGTAATTCGGAGGGGGAATTACAATGACATAGTTGGCGACGCACCCCCTCACACCCCCTGCGCCCCAGCCACCCCAACTTTTAAATCTTAAGTAGTGACCCCCCATGTGTGATACGTCGTTGGAAAGCTCTGAAAAAATGCTTTCCAACCATACCAAATAGCATTACATTTAGGTTAGTAATTATCGTGCAAATCAAAAAATAAACATGGAAAATCGTATTTAACTTGAACTTCCAAAGCCGACTTGACAGCAACTCATTTTTGATCGCCAGTTATAATCTATTCTCAAACTCTTGTCGAACCTTTTCAAATGTTGGTTTTGCAATATTTCGACATTCTTGAATTATTCTCTGTCTTAGTTCGTCTATGTTCGCCGGTTGCGTTTTAAATACGACAGATTTCAAATGTATCATATTAGTTTATTTTTTGATTTGCACGATAATTACTAACCTAAATGTAATGCTATTTGGTATGGTTGGAAAGCATTTTTTCAGAGCTTTCCAAAGACGTATCACACATGGGGGGTCACTATTTAAGATTTAAAAGTTGGGGTGGCTGGGGCGCAGGGGGTTGGAGGGGGTACGTCGCCAACTATGTCATTGTGATTCCCCCTCCAAATTACCGAAACGGATTTTGATTTTTTTAAATATCTCGTTTATTTACTAAGATATGGGGGGTGGTAAGTTTTCAAATTGTCAACCTGTATATGGATTTGGTGTCCTCCATAATTAGGGAGAATTTCCTAATATCGCATTTATGTACAATTTATAATGTCGAGTGTTATAACGAAATTACTTGCTGATAACGAAGATTTTTTCTACACGTGTTGAATCTCTTGAAAAACGCAAAGTTGAAACTAGTTTCAACAATGTAATTATCACCATGGTACAGGAGTATTGTGAAAATAGCAAATAAAAGCTCGATGTACAGGGTGTCCGACGCATAAAGCTAACCCTCAAATCAACCAGTTTAATCGTCTCTACTATAAACTAGAATGGAACCTAGAAGATACATTTCCCATTCAATTCTGGAAATACAGGAATTTTAGGTGTTTGTGGTAATTGATGAACGAATCCTTTGACTTCCTAAGGCAAGCCGTAAATATTTGGAGATCTTTCTTAAACTACTCTAACATGAGATATATTTATTTTTAAAATCATTCAAATCCTTAGTTAAAATTACCAGACACGTCTCGATCGGTACATTTTTTTTAAAATAATTTAGGAAGCTCGGTGGGTTTATGTTATAATTATAAAATATCAGCGCTTCCCTCATTTACCGACTTTTCAGTGCAGGTATAAAGATTAGTAGCCGAACTATTTTTAAAGATCAGGGCAACACTTGAGCTTTTAAGATAGTGTAACATTTAAGTGCACTAATTTGTCTACACAGTAAATTGTGTCTATTGATGTTTTTACTTTTAGTCAAAACGCTCTTTAACTTTGATCTAGAGTTTCGTTACGTTAAAACGTGGACCACACATCGACGAAGTGCGAAGAATGTAATTTTTAGATCCTAAAAATTTGTTCTCAAACGAAACTGTTCCTACGTTTAATACAACAATTTTTATTGGAGCAGTAAAATTTTACGGGTCTTGTGCATCGGTTTCATTTCATTTAGTTGAACATTTTCCAAGAGAATCATCCCCAACTTTCGTGAGAGTTTCAACTTAGTAATTAATTTAGTAAACCGACGTGTTAATATTTACTTTTGCTGTGAAAAGTTTTAAATGTGAAGAGTTTTTCAATCATTAGGCTGGTGTCAAAAAGCTCTTAGGTATCCTGTTTGTGGTGGCTAGTGGATACGTGAAACGGCTCTTATTGATTTCACCTGCATCAAGTATACATTTTAACACAATAGAAACGAGCATTTAAGCTTCTTACTGTTCTTAATTAGAATTCACCATAGTAACAGAATTGGGCAAGTAATTACACGTGCACCGGGAACAATAAGGACAATAAGACACTTAGTTGGAACAGCGACAGTAATTAGTAGAAGAACTCTCTTGAACTGCTCAGTAAAGCGAATTCTTGTTTAGTTGTTACCATTAACTTTTCCTGTAAGTATAGACTCGTTTTAATGAAATCTTAAGTATCTATTATTGCGTCCCGTTTTTCTACTACTTTCAGCAGTAAATCTAACGATTCAATTTGTTATCCGTTTTGCGCTTGTTATAGAAGTGCTTCTTTTAGGGTGTTCAATTACATAATGGATGTCTTCCGTGAATGCTCAACTTCTAATTCTAAGTGAGACATTCGTTATTTTGATGTGATTAATTTCTTGTTTTGTTTCAGACATAAAAGGAAAGTACAGAATTTCCTTCCCTGTAAAAATTCACCCCAAAACAACTGTGATGGCTCTAATACTGCCGGTGTGATATACGAAGATGTGCACGACGTCATGCACAGAGCTACACCTACACATCATAATCCTAGTGGACATATCGTTGCGCCTTCCATAGAGGTAAATATACAGTTGCTTGTAATTTCTTAAGCACGAAAATCAATTTCCGTTTAGGTACTTTTTTAAAATTTTTTAGTTTCTTTTCTTTTTTCGATCAGTCAGTCGGTGTCAAAGGCGTAGTAGGTGGAAAGTGCGCTTACGTTTAATTTCCCGTGCAATAAAATAAAGTGAAAAACTAAGGGTCGGTTTTTCGAGTTATTTGATAGACATCCTTCTATGTGAATACATTTGGTTCCATGAAAACGAACTGGTAGGTTCAGTTAAGGGTTGATAAACCGGCTCTAACCCAGAATGAGGGAGAGAAACTCTCTTGAACTTGAAAAAAGTTATGCTACCTCATCCGTGATGGAACAGAGAATCGTCCAACAGATGTGCGTGAAATTAACCAGAACCAAACAACTCAACGCACCGTACAATGCTTTACTCTATGTTAGTACCCCGCGAATCCCCAAAAATCTTCACACAGGAGAGGGCATAATGGGTCCAAATGGCCTTCAAACCTTTTAACGCGCCTGATTGAGAATATCTTTCCAGCATGCTTCCAAAAGGTTGTTGGGCACATACTGCAAAATATATGTAAACTCTGTAGAGCCAGATTCTGTTTAGCTCACATACGCAGAACGTGGCAGGAGGTGAATACCAAAGAGTCAGGACCATCAGTCGAGCTGCTCAAAGCGTATAGACCCATCAGGTTCAGCTTGTTCCTCTTGAAGGGGATGGAAAAAAGTCTTAGACCAATTCCTGAGACGCGAGGTTCTAACAAAGCATCCTCTTCACCCGCGCTGCGATCTGTTGAGTCCAGGCCCTCAGCTTGGCGACAAAGTTCAGAGGTACGTCTGTTGGGTCAGTTCACTTATTCTTGGAGGAAGTGTAGGATTGCAAGGGGAATTTCAGTCTGAGAATTGTTTAGATCCGCAATTGATTTATTTACAGATGAGCCGTTAACCTGTTTTGGCGCAAATAATTTTACCAGCTGTAAAGACTTAGGTCACGGATTATAATCGGATTTTCAACCACATACAATGAGGTTTTATTTGAGAAAATTAGACGGCGCACACATAGTAAATCAGGATCGGTAGGAATATATTTAGTCAAGATGGAAACCTTATTTAGGCGGTTGAATACTCCTCTATCGGATCTGATCAAGATAAGCATCTTGAAATGAAACGTTTTGCCTTACTATCAATCACATCTGGCATTAGTTGATGTAAAATTCGTGGAGGAATTGAAACAATATCGTAAGGGATTAGAGGTTTCCAAGCGAGGATAGTTTTGCCCCACCTATTAAAAAAACCTGGGACCAGATCTTGCGCACATTGAAGATTGTCCCACCGCTACCATTGTCAGTACTTTAGGAAATCCAAATCCAAGCTCATCAAAAGAAGTCAAATGTTATTGATGTAAGAATATGGGTCACTATGCCAATAATTGTCATGATAAGCAACGGAATTCGTCAGCCAGATGTAGTCGCTGTAACGAAGTAGGGGTTACAAACGATAGGTGTACTAAATGCTCCGGGAAACGGGAGAGCGTCGCAGTAGATAGACGGAAATCTGCAATCGCATAAAAACAAAATAATTCATCCGGAGGAGGATGAGAGGCCATATTAAACTTTTGGGAACCAGATTTAGGTTCTACTCACACTCTACTTGGTGGTCCAGACATTACAAAATGGAGTGATTTCGGTTCCTGTAATCTTGATGGATGCAAGATGTTCGTGTTTCGCATACATTAATTCTAGGCGTTGACTTCTGGAAGCAATTTTCTGTGGTTCCAGACCTGCGAAGAGGTGTTTGGGAGTTATCAAGTGAGCAGCCCGGAATTCCTGTCTATGGATTTACACTTGACCAAATTCCAATATGAACAATTGGCCTCTGTGGTCGATAATTATTTCAGAGATTTGGGGGATGAACTAACAGCTGGTAGACGTAGAGCATGTTATCAAAACTAATTCAACACCTATAAAACAGCGATATTACCCAGTATCTCCGGTTGTTCAGAGTCACATAAATAAAGAAGTGTTAAGGGAGGAGTGATCGAGAGATTCAATTCGCGTTGGTCTTCGCCACTTTTGTTTTTTAAAAAAAGGACGGCACTTTTAGATTTGGTGTCGACTTCTGGCGATTGAATGCCGTTACAGAGAGAGACGCATATCCTGTACCATACATATCGTCGATTCTTGATCGTCTTTGCAATGCAAAATATTTCTTCAATAGACGTGAACAATCAAAAGACTATCTTTCGTTTATGGTTCCAGGTTTTGTGAGAATGCCTTTTGGCTTACATAATGCTCCTGCAACTTTGCAGCGATTAATCGATAAGGTTCTTGGTCCTGAGTTGGAGCCGCATTTGTTCGTCTATGTAGATATAGATAGATATAATCGTAGTGACTTCATCTTTCGAGGAACAGGTTTTGGAGGAAGTGTTTACTTAATGTAAATAGCCGTGATTTCGGCACCAGTGTTGTCATCCGAATTTCGATTGCGAGTTAGTTCTTCTTACTGAAGCGAGTGCGGGGGCACCTTGACTAATTTCAGAGCGTTACAAAAGTTACTGTACAGGAAGTGGGGTTAAACGTTGAAAATAACCCTATGAAAGGTCACATATGCCGCAGTCATATGGTGGCCAAAAGTTGAGAAAACAACTGCACAAAAACAGCTGCAGCATATACAAAAGCTAGCCTGTTTAAGTATGGCACGCATTTCAACAGCAAGGCTCTTTACTCTTTACTATAAGCACAATTGATTGACACTAAATTAGGTAGGACAAATTTGAGCTTCTTTCGACCTTCGGTTTTCAAACTAAACGATGCAGGAATAACTCGATAGTGCGATCATAATGCAGAAAACCTCAAGACTGGTCGATTTATAAAAGGTGAAATTTAAAGAACAAAAAATAAATTATCAATTTCAGGAGTGGCTTTCAGAGCAAACGATGTAGGAATAACTCGACAGTAAGAAACTAATGCTCTACGGTAGTCCTTTATCTAGATATCGGTCGATTTATAAAATGCGCCCGAAGCAACGGACAAACGAAACGGCCGTTGTGTGTGACTTAGCAGATCGGTAGCTTTCAGACTAAGCGATGCAGGAATAACACGGTAGTACGAAGATAATGCGGAAAACCCGAAAGTTCTACAATGTTCTGTTGCTTAGATCTCGATCGATTTATAAAAAGCTTAAAATGCTCCCGAACAGCCGACACAGTTAGAACTATAAATGCGCTAAAAATAAAAGAGATTACTGCAAAAATAACTACGCAATGCGATCTAAGTATACTGCAAAACTTGAAGGGATATTCAGATGCGTGGATCATCAATATATAGGTATGCGATTTCATAGATTAGTGGGTTTAGATCCGTCGGATTGACGTCATCTCTTCCATATATTTGAATAACGTTAACATAACGACCTGGAAAGAACCCTTTCGCCTGGTTGTATCCAAAGATCGTCGATTGTTTCGATGTCGCCATAAAGATTATTATAACTCTCGCCAGGAAAGATTTCCGGTCACAGCACACCTTGTGTCGATTTACAATCTTTGTTTTTATTAAGATGCGAGCGACTTCTGGAATAGGATCGTGCTAATGTTGAACAAAAATTCTTTTCGTTCAACATTGACACGATACTATCCCGGAAGTCGCTAGCACCTTACGAAAAACAGAGATTGTTGATCGGGATCAAGTGTTCTGAGACCGGCAATCTTTCCTGGCGAGAGTTATAGAATAGATGACGCCTTGGAATCAGGAACCAGGCTGGTTAGATCAAGTTTAGTGCAACAACTTTGCGAAGAGGGTAACGTGCATGACATTAACCATGCGTCACGTTATTTTGGCACTCGTGAAAATCCATGTGATTAGATACTTAATAGGTCTTTTAATACAATACATGCAATGAACTAGTAGGTATCATTAAACTGTTAATGTTTTGCAAGCGTAAACGGAGCCTGGAAACTATACCGAACGAATTTTCCTGCGTTCACAAAAATCGCAAAAAAGATTAAATTAATTTAGCAGCAAGCCTTTATATTGTAAGTCATAAATTTTGTGGTTACTCGCAAGCTATCTAATCGAAATAACTTCCAAATTGTTTGTTATCTCGACTTTTGGCGTTCTCATCACGGCGATTAAGAAACATTCAAAACACTTGCGTTTTAATAAATTAAGCATTACAAACTTAACTGATGTGTAAACGCAATAAAATGCCTCAGCTACGTCTTAATTACCAACCATCTCAGAAGTTGGTTCGTTTACCCTATAAACTAATAATAACGATCCCATTAATATAATTCTTAGTTGCATAAACGAATTTAGATTTCCTACATGGAGAAGCTTTTAATGGAAAATTTACACGTGAACAGCTGTAGCAAGCATATTTTGATCCAAATTTGTGTTAACTGCTCTGTAACACATTTCCCATATAAACACACGCCTATTAAACACAAAACCAAATAAATGCCTCCTGTAATTCGACGAAAAACTGAAGCCGTTCTCTACTTTTAAATGTTATGTTTGTTTTGACTTTCATTTTACGTGCAGATTATGGACGAGGATCAAGTGAAGTTTATTAATGCAACTGAATTTCCTCAAACACACATACGTACATATACAGAACTATCACAAACTGAAGTGGAAGACTGATGAGCTATACTAAAAAGTAACTTTTTTTATTTTAATGCTTACTGTTTTGTCTTTTGTTTGGTGCTTGTTTACTGCTAGGTACTCGATTCATTGTTCACATTTTTCAAAAGGGAAACAATGAAGGTTTTTAGGCAGCTTTGCAAGAGTTTCATCGCCCATATTACAGCTTTCTTACACGCAATCGTGTTCGTCAGTGACATAACGCTTTTTTAAATGTAAATGTGGTACCTTTTAGAAATACATTGTGTATCTTTGTTGCAGATGATAGACGTTAAGAACAACATTCACTACCCTAGTGGATATCCGATATCTCAGCACCCACCTGTGTTTCTGTGTTCATCTCCAGGACCAGATCCGTACTGCTCCCAAGATCTGTATAATCCCGTCTATGAAGAGTTGAGTGATGGCGATAGCGAAATTACTCCCGCTCATCACAGCGAGGATGAGTTTGCCGAGGACGAACTTAGTTTAGGTGATAACGGCGACCGTCGCCTTAACATTCCTCCCCCACCATATCGTCCCGATCTCCAGATGCAAAGAAGAGAAGCAGCCAGATACAGAAGGCCTCAGGAACCACTGCCGCCTATTCCGTGCAATAAAAAAACCAAAAGCTTAGACAAACAGCGCCGGCAGGAATTTCACGAAGGAATGCTGTTGGACGCGCTTCTTCAATTATATCCGCGAGTGGGTAGTGTCGAGCCCCCTAACCGAAGGCAAGTTGTTCCTAGTATAACACAAAGACTACAGTGTTTACCGCAAACGCCGGGGCCGTACGAAACTATGCCCGTTCTGGGACATTTAGCCACTTTCAGGCCAGTACCCAAACCGTACTCGCAGGACTCTGCTTTTGGGTCAGACTCTGGTTATAGTAATCATACGAGTGGGACGCGGGGTTCGAATAGAGGTCGGAGAGATCCGAGACGATTATCACAATTAAGTGCGGATCTAAATTTAACGTAGATCACGTTTTGTTGTATAGTGACACGGAATGACCGAAAAAAACGTGAAAATGTGTGCAAATGCTACGTTTATCTCAGCATGTGATAATTTTACTTATTATTGTACTTACTTATACACGTTTTCGTTTTTGTGTCACTGAATCCATGTAACAATAGTGATTGTATAAAAATTACCTCAAGCAACAACATTCCATTATATTTAGGGTAAATGTCATGCAATTGCACAAATTCACTCAGTTAAGGTAATTTGTAAATATCTCACGTGTACATAGATAGGGACACTTTTGGCCAACCAAAGTTTCTAGAGTAATTATTTTTATCTTAATGACAACTTGTACATATTTTGTTAATATTATTTATTTATTGTACCTATAGACTTATCAGGATTTGTTGTTAGTCCGATCTTTTTCATATCTTAAAACTAGTTTAGCGGAACAACCAATGCTTAAAACTTAATCTAAAGCTCTTTCTACTTTCCTACTATAAATTTAGCGAATTGTTCTGAAATTGAGTACTTTAGCTTTTAGCTTTCCTTAGATTTCAAACACGACACGGAATCTCACGTTTTACTTTATAAATGTGAATAGCAATAGGTAACAGATTTCTTAAAATAGCTGGTTAACGATATAATAAAATTTTCTGTTTTAATATAGCCTAGGGTTGTGCAAAATAAGATATATTGTTTCGTAACCACAACGCATTACCCTCCTTCACTAATATTAGCTATTCATTATTTATTGCACAGTTTAATTTGTACCTCAATACATGTACACAGGGTCATAGGTTAAGTTGGCACTCTATGCTTTTGATTCAAAACAAACTTACAAAAACGCAGGAGAGATTTTTATAATTATCGTTTCGTTTGTATGTTGAACGTGGTTTTTAATTGTTTATAAATTCAGTGTTATATGCTAGTCCAATTCATATTATATTATTTTTAAATGAAACGTCGTTTTTTTTATTCATACTTTTAAAGTTAGTATATTTCGTGTAAAATCAGTTGTTCAAAAGACGGATCAATTTTGTTATTGTTTTATTTGAGTATCACAAATATAAATTTCATTATTAACAAACTTAAGCATTGTACTTGTGTGCCCTTCACCTTCGATTTACTCAAAATAATGTAGCAATTCCTGTCAAACAGTACATCAAAGGCATCCTAGGGGCTTCGAGACAAAAAAAACAGTTTCACCGATTTTTAACAGGAAGAAAAACTATAGTAGGTACTTCCCTATCCCTATGCGCGCCTCACTGTAGGCATCAGTTGACGGTTTTTCCACGAAACCTACTATTTTCGGCTACTTGTGTTTCATGATTTGTGACGCAGAATGAAATTGCTCGATCCCATTGTACCAAATTTGAACAAATTCCATCATATTTCTAAGCTAAACAGTGGGACAGATAAAAGAGCGGGCGCACGGACATTGCGTTTTCTACTGAACCAAAAACAACAACGTTGAACACGTAATGCAGTATGTGGAGCTGTTCCAGTCCAATAAAAAGGATTTTTTCAAGAGGCATGTAACGATGGATGAATCTTGGGCCCATTACTACAAGCCCGACGGAAAATGATCGTCAGCTGAGTGGAAAGCCGGCCATAAAAGCCGTTAGAAACGACAAAAAAACTATATCGAAATGAAAATAATTGAAAAATCTTGGTTATTTGAAGTGTTGGGCTATGGTGCATTAATAACCTTTGTAGAGAATTTAATACGCTGTCATATGATAATATACTGGGTGTTGCATATCAAAAAGTCGCATTTTGTTATTATTTGAAAAATGCGATGTTCTTTTGAACTAAGAAAGTAAGCAATAGTGCCGATTTAATTTGAAACAGACTGTATAGCCGAATTTGGTTCCACTGAAACAGGAATACGGAGCTAATAGGTCTCAATGTGTCAAAAAAAATTTCATTTTTCAGGAAGACAATGCACCATGTCACAAGCCGTTGAAAACAATGGAAAACATTTGCCAAATTGAGGTTTCAAATTTCCTCCGCATCCACTATATTCTTTAAAAGGATGCTCCAGAGAAAAAGATATGGCTCCTATGGGACCGTTACATTACAAACGACAATTGGACCCTTAAGAAAGCTATAGAAATATTGGTGAAGCGTTAGGAACAGTGTATCGCTCAAGAAGGAGACTACGTTGAAGAATAAAAAGAATGTTGTAAGAAAATGTAGAGCGATTCAAAAAATTCAGCGTCATAATTGGCGGCGATAAGGTGGTAAGGAAGCATGAGTAGTAAGTCGCATTGGTGCACCTGGTCCGGGCTTAGTGTTTGCGTGTTTTCCGGTTTGTTTCTCAAAGCCTTTCCTTCTGAATTCAGTCATCAAGATTTGAATGAGGTACCACCTTTTTCTGTCGTTGGATAAAATTTTGCTTTGTGGGGTTTTAATAAGTCTATTTTCATCTTTGAATAAGTTAGCCTACTTTACAAAGAGTTTTACACTTTTCTTGCTCCAGATGCTCTAAAGATGCGTATCCACCGACGCTCACGAACTACTCGTCATCTTTATGCGATGCGTACACCTTTCGAACACATGGGCATCAGGTGATCGCGAGCAGTTCGCGGATACGCACCTTAACGGAATCATTGTGATGCGAGATAGCTTGGTGCAGTTGATACTAGCTATCCACCACAGCGGGTGTGCCATAAACACAAAAGATAAATTAAAAGGCACCTTACAGTTTATTGCACATTAGGAGTCCTATGAAAATAACTTTACCTCGAAATGATACAACCATATCGCATTCATGTGAATACGCTTAAATAAATAATTTAGAAAATTTAAGCTTGATGACTTTGAAATGTTCCACTTCAGATATCAACATCTTTCGCAAAATTAGAACGGAACGGATCGGATAGCATAAAAATATGTCAGTGCTGTGTTTTTGCATATATTAAAAACGAAAAATCGCCCCAGACTCCAAAATTTCGAACCTCTTACCACCAGTAATGACGTCATCAAACTATGAATCAACGATATTACAATAATATAATTAATCCCTACGCTTTCCGGCTATTTCAAAATATGGAGCAAATTGATTTAGTGTTTGATCGATATAGCAATGGACCAATAAATCTGACATGCGCCGATCAAGAGGAGTAGGAGTGCACATATAAAGATTCTTTACGAGTAGATGAAAATAAAAAACAGCTGTCTACTTTCTTGACGGAACAGTTAATAAGCCAGCATTTTCAAGGAATAACAATAGTGTGCACGCTTGAAGTAAAAGCATTATCATCTTCAGCAGAGTTAGATTTACCAGCTATAACACCCTCAAGCCATGACGAAGTGGACGTATGCCTTCTCCTTCACGCTAAGTAGGCAGCTGATAATGGCCACAAATCCGTAAGCATTCGAACAGTAGTTTAGATCCCGGCGCCGTGGACGAAAGACCCCTCCGTGGCTCTGTTGGTGGTGATCCTATAATACCCTGGACTTTAACAAAACTGACATTTCTTAAACTGCACTGTCGCGAAACCATTCGGAATGTTAATAGGCATCCACAAGCACAACCTATATTCTCATTTATCACAGGAGATCTTAGTCCAAGAGCCCAGTAGGAAAGTATACCTTGAACGCCCGGACGATTCTAATAATTTTCATAGGATTCGCCATAAAAAGTTGCATTAGAATCGACAACGGTGCCGACGAAAATCCTGCCGAAAGCAGTTAAAAAACAATTAAATTCGCCCCTTATTTTTGAAAAATATACTTTATTGTCCCGAATGTTCAGGAAGAGTACTAAACAGTGCATATGGATGAGTTTTATCGGAATAAGTCACGGTGCCGGGGCGCAACTTGCCGCAACCCTTGGCACCGCGACTACAAATGGGGTGGTAAATCGTACTTATCGAGCTTATTGACAGTGCGAAAATTGAAAAATTGCAAGAATTCACGTCACTTACCTATGTATTCGGTGAAAAAATGTAACACCGTGGATACCGCGAGATCAAATATATTCCACAAAATTTTCTCGACGAGAAAAGATTCTGAGAAACTCGTCAAGAAAATCAGAGGATTTGATTCGTGTACGATTCCGCCTTGTTTCAAATCATTAAAACAAAAGATTCTCCGAACGATTTTTGTTACTGCTATATGGAAAAATGCGGCAGAAAACGAAATGAGGCTGGGAAATGAAAGATATTTTAGAACCCTTTTGGTTCGAGGGCGATTCTACTTCTTTGAGCGTCGATTCTGATTCTGATTGAATTACAATAAAATGATTTCAAAAAAGCATTTGTGACACAAGAATCATTGCGAGTCAACTTCGATCATTTCTACCTTTTTTGGGTTGCTTTTAGGCATAAACACACAAGTCAAGTGTTTTACTTTTCAAAAAATTAATGTTTAAGAATTAAAAACGATTTTGCCGGTTCTTTTTTTGTTTTTTTTTTAACAAAAAAGTGGTTCAGCCTATAAAAGAATGATTCTCTAAGTGATCGAAATAACGGCATAAGTCTGTTTGTAATGATTCGAATCTGTCTCGTCAAAAGTTTGAGAAAATGGACATAAAATCGTTTTTCTCGCAGTCACAAAAGTGATCAGATACGAAAAGAAGGCTCTTGCGCGCCCCCGGATTTCTTATAATTTGTCTACTCTTAAGCTACATTTTTCATTAAGGACTTTTTGGTCCGGAAAAACAAGCTGGATTATTACAATTTACCGCCTCTTTTATTGGCGCAGTGCCAATAGGCTCGCGCGCGCCCGGATTCCATCGACGGTGCCGAGGACTTCCGGCATCCTGAGAGTCGGCACCGTTGGTTTTTTATATTCGTATAATCGCAAGCTACATATTTCATATAGGTAATTTTGGTCCGGGAGAAAAAGGTAGTTTAGTACGATTTACCACCCCATTTGTAGTCGCGGTGCCAAGGGTTGCGGCAAGTTGCGCCCCGGCACCGTGACTTTTTTCGATAAAACTCATCCATATGCGCCCTTCAGTACTCTTCCTGAACGTCCGGGATAATAAAGTACATTTTTCAAAAATAAGGGGCGAATTTAATTTTTTTTTAACTGCTTTCGGCAGGATTTTCGCCGGCACCGTTGTCGATTCTAACGCAACTTTTTATGGCGAATCCTATGAAAATTATTAGAATCGTCCGGGCGTTCAAGGTATACTTTCCTACTGGGCTCTTGGACTATCTGTATAGCTACTTGCCTATTCTGTAACAGGTTACAATACCGTGCCATCATTTTGTGGAGTAGGCATAAATCATGTATTTAGTACCTGTACACCACGTATATCGGTTTTAATACAATTCATGGAGCTGGGGAGTCCGAAATTTTTGAGTTCTGAGGCGTTTTTTTTTATCTTTGGCAAATACAGTATCCAAATCCAAAGGTACACAATCGCCGCCAGCAGAAATATTTTTATGATTTTTAATGCTATCCGATCATACTATACATATAAAAACTTAAAATGTGCCCGGACAAATTTCCGAATGAAAAATAATGCATGATTTATAATCCGTTCTGCTTTTGATCACGAGCATCAAGATGTTGATTCGTATTTATCTTACTTTTGTGAGTAACGTATACCTCCTTACTGTACTAATACTGTAAAATACTGTTAAGGGTTGGTTTGATGGTTTATTTTAAATTAATAAACATAATATAATAAAAATAATCGTTTTTCCATTGGTTAGAATGTAGACACAAGTATAGTACATATAGTTTATTTTAATTTTGACAATAAACGTTTAGGGGACACCGGGGCGGAATGGGGACCCTAACGTTTAATTTCTGTTTTGGAGTGTGAACGGCTTAATACAACCTTATAAAGATATGTGGTGATTTATTAATATGTTACAAACATAAAAAACAACAGGAAATAGAAATCAAACAATTGTTTTTAACTTTAAAAAAAGTGTCATTCACTCCGTTCTGCCCCGCTTACGGGGCAGGATGGGGCACCCGCGTTTTCCAGGCTCACAA